CTCAGGGGTCATTTGCTTCCTTTGAGACCCAGATTTACTTTATATATTTAACAAATTCAGGTGGGAAGCCATATTGATCTGAAGCAGAATACAGTTTGAGTCCAGGGGCACCTTTAAAACCAACAAAGTTTTATTCAAGGGATAAGCTTTTGTGTGCATGCATACTTCCTCAGATACAGTGAAAGGGAAATCATTCAAGCCCTACATATAGGAAGAGAGAAGGTGGGGGCAGGGGTTTAGTTGCCAGGAAGAGCCAATTAGAATCAAGACAGAGACGGGGGGGGGGGAATGGAAATTACCTGACCATACATATAAGTAGAGGGTGAGCATTAAAGTATCATATGGCATAATGAAGATGTTCAACAGATACAAGGATCAAATCGGAATAATAAGCTTAGTTTATATGGTAACCATTTGTTTGGGTTCAATTCTGGGGCAAAACCGGGAAGGAAATAAATCTGTCAAAATTGGAGATTGATGTATCTTTAATAGTAGAATGCTGAGAGTAATTAACTGAGATCCTGTTGTTAATGCTCCATCCGTCTCATCTCAAGCATGGAGGTGACCTTACAGCATCTTCTTCTTTGAAGTGGGGTGATTGGCTGTGCAGATTTTATCTCCCCTGTCCCCAGACCAGAGAAATACATTTCATTTTCTATTATTAATTACGTTACATTACAATCTGCTATTCTAATCTATTATTCCAAATAAGAGATGAAATAAAATGGCCCTTCTGGAGGATTGGCAAGAATACAGATGTAAGGGCTGAATGAGGTTAGCATATGTATTGAGATAAGAAGCCAATATCCCTGTTAAGTCCTGGGGATTCCATTGTTCTGAGTGTTGTAATAACTTGCAATTCAGCAATTTCCCTTTCCAGTCTGTTCCTGAAGTTCCTTTGAGATCACCCATTGAATACCCTAGAAGGTTGAAGTGTTCTCCTACCATTTTCTCAGTCTTGTGATTCTTGATGTCAGGTCTCTGCCCATCCGGCATATTTTTGTTTCTTCTTCAGCTCCATCTGTATCTTGTCTGTGAAGGCAAAAATTTAAGAAACATGAGCTCTGTTCCCTCACGTAGATGTACAGCCGTAGTCTAGCAGGTTTCCAAATAAGAGACCTTTAGAGAGCACATAGGTTACACGCTACCAGTCTTAAATTTAAAGCTGGTGTCCCCCTTTTTATTTGATTGTGGGCAGTTGGGGTATAAAGAATCTATAGGGGCAGCCAGTGTGGAAGGGCTGAATATGCTTCAGCCCAGAAGGCAGTTGCCTCAGAGCCTCCCCCCCCCCCCGCCACCACATAGATACCACAGGATATATACTGGGTTGCCTTGGGGTGTATTTCAATATCTAAGAGAACACAAGGTTGCATTTGGTCACTGTGTTTATCCCTGGAGGACAATGCTCCCTCTAAGATGTGGAGTCTTGTGAGCAAAAATTCTACTTTGTGAGCTACTGGTATTAAAGTTGTTAGCGAGCGATTTGGCTACTGCATACATTAGTTTGTTCTGGAGCCATCCCTTCCTGAGCTAAGACAAAAATGTGTGAGCTGGAGGCTAAACAACTGTGAGCTAGCTCACACTAACTCAGTTTAGAGGGAACATACTGATGGGATAATTCCATTAATTCCAGGATGGCTAGTTAACCCCCTCCTGCTCATAGCCATTTCCTTTACCAGACTCTGGCTGCGGTCACACGCAGCATTAGCCACGCAAGAGATACGGAAGACAGGCGGAGTTTCCGGGCGCGATCTCACCAGCACATCTGGGGAGCGTAGCGCTTCCGTGGCACAACGGAGGCTTCCTCCCGAAAACGCGCAGCAAAAAACTAGTACCTCGGAGGTACTAGTTTCCGGAAACTGCGGGGCAAGGGCGGGCGTCTGATCACGTTTCCGGTGGCATCCGGCGCCCGCCCATGTCCCCTTGCGAAGAAGGTTTTTTTTCCCCCCAAGTCTCCGTGGTTGCGCACACGCACCCAACCGTGCACGCGCATTCGTAGTGTACACAAAAAAAGAAAACCAGTTCGCCGCGCCGCGCGCTTCTTCGTTGCGCGCAGGCGTGTGTTGTGATCGACGCCTCTCCGTAACCACGGAAGCTCCACGGTACCTCCACAGAACCTCCACAGGAGGTTTGATCGCTTTACTGCGTGTTAGTTTGCCCCGGGGCAAATAGCCACGCTTCCCCCCCGCAGTCTTTCATTCTGTCTGTTGCTGAAATTATAAGTTCCACCAAGCAGTGGGCCATGCAGTTCTGTGCAGCGCCCATCATGGTTTTTGTGCTAAGGAACTGGTAAACGGTGGAACCAGCCAACTTCTTTCACTCTCAGCCAATCCCCCACCTTATCTCAGGGCCCCTCCCACACGGTTTCGGTCCATGCAGGTCAGGAACCTAGAAGGTTCAGCCGTTAAAACATAGAACAAAATACATCTGTTTATGGTAAAGTGCACAGTAACTACAAATTAAAAACAGCATTTGTTGAATGTAGTGGGTATCACATCCCATCCACTAAGACACAGCATACAACAACAAATATAAGTTGCACATACGATGACCGCGAGACCAAAATATTGGTTACACGTACAGTAACCACTAGACCAAAGGTGTTTTGGCCCTGAGGGCCTTCTTCCGTGGTCTGAATAACAATAATAACAGCACACAAAAAATACAAAATATCTGTTCCAGGCAAGGGAGGTTGTCTATGAATCATTGGAATAGTGTAGCTCCAATATAATAGTTAAAAAGTTTTGCTGCACATATTGAGGAGCCCACTGCCATTAGAGATGATAACTTTTCTTCTGTCTATGCGGGTCGCAGGATCTCCATCAGAGCCTTTTTGGTAGTCAAAGGGGATCCCTTCCTCCTTTTTTCGCCAATTGAAAAGTTGGTTGGATCCAACACCATTTTTTCCCAATTCTGTGGAAAGGTCATAAGGATGCCAACACCTCGAGATTGGACTACTGTAATGCTCTCCACATGGGGCTGCCTTTGTCCCAAATCCGGAAGCTGCAGCTGGTGCAGAATGCGGCGGCCAGGCTGTTGTTGGGCCTCCCTATTTATTTATTTATTTATTTATTATTTACATGGGATTTATATACCGCCCATGACCCCTAATGGGTCTCAGAGCGGTTTACAGCGAACTACTACGTAGTTAGTACCTAACTAGGGCCACAATTCTCTTGGGGAGGGGATATCCTACCAGCACCCATGCGGCATAGTCTTTCTTCCTTTCCGGCGGCCTCGTTCTTTTTCTGGCGATCCGGATGGCTATGCGGGAGCATATCCGGCCTGCGCTAAAAGAACTGCACTGGCTGCCTATAGCATACCGGATTTGGTTCAAGGTGCTGGTTCTTACCTTTAAAGCCCTGTATGGTCAGGGACCTACAGACCGCCTTTCCCCACATGTTCCCCAGAGAGCACTAAGATCGGGGTCCCAAAACTGCTTGGCGCCACCGGTCCCTAGAGAAGCCAGGCTGGCTGCGACTAGGGCCAGGGCTTTTTCCGTGGTGGCTCCGCACTGGTGGAATGAGGTCCCGGAGGACATCATGGCCCTGCAGGACCTCTTACAGTTCCGCAGGGCCTGCAGGACGGAGCTCTTCCACCAGGCCTTCGATTAGGGAGCCGCACCCAAGAAATTGTAGCCCTGGCCCAACACGAACCACATTGTCAACAACCAGCTAGCCCAGACTATGGTATTGGCCTGCTGTTGACTGAGGATGCTGCTAAACCCGCCATCTGACATAAACTAGCACTTTGTATTTTATAATATTTATAATTGTATTGCTTTGCTTTTATCTAATTCGGTTTTAATTGTTTTATATCACATGTGAGCCGCCCTGAGCCTGCCTTGGCAGGGAGGGTGAGATAGAAATTGAATGAATAAATAAAATATAAATAAACGCCAGCCTCCAGGTAGGACCTGGGGATCCCCCCCCAAATTACAGCTTATCTCCAAACTACAGAGAGCCCTTCCCCTGGAGAAAATGGATGCTTTGTAGGGTGGGCTCAGTGGCATTATATGCCCCTGAGGTCTCTGTCTTCTCCAGGCTCCACCCCCAAATCTCCAGGAGTTTCCCAATCTGGGGCTGGCAACCCTCCCCACCCCCTGAAGAGAAGGAGAGAAGAGATTGGATTTATACCCCGCCCTTCACTACCCAAAGGTGTCTCAGAGCGGCGTACAGATTCCTTCCTCTTCCCCTCCCCACAACAGACACCCTGTGAGGTGGGCGGGGCTGAGAGAGCTCTTTTGACAGAAACTGCTCTTTTTCCGAGAACAGCTCTTATCAGAACTATGGCTTGCCCAAGGTCATCCAGCCAGGTGCAAGTGGAGGAGTGGGGAATCAAACCCGGCTCTCCCAGATTAGAGTCCCGGCACTTCACCACGACACCAAACTGGCTCTCGCCAGTGGCCGAGGGTGACCTGGTGACCCTGCAAGGTCAAGATGGGATTTTTGTTTGCTTTAGACGTGATGGGGAGCCATGCCAAACACTTTCGGGTCAGACCATAGCTGGAGTGCTGTGGTGTAACTGACGTGCAGGGCTATTTTGGGGGCAGGAACGCACAGGAACGGAGTTCCGGCTGGCTCCTGAGTTGGCCATACCCAGCAGGAACTCATTAGCATAATAGGCCACACCCAACAGCAGAAACTCATTAGGATTGGTTACATTAGGGGTGTGTGGCCTAACATGCAAAGGAGTTCCTGCTACAAAAAAAGGCCCTGGGTTTGGACAACAAACAAGGTAAACAGAATAAGAAGGGAAAGGTGGGTGTGGCTGGATGATCACACTTCAGGTAACATGGGGGTGTGGCCTAATGTGCTAATGAGCAGTGCTGTCAGGGGTGTGGCCTAATATGCTAATGCGTTTTGCTGTTGGGTGTGGCCTATTATGCTAATGTGTTCCTGCTGGGCTTTTTCTACAAAAAGAGCCCTGCTGACGTGGATCTCACTTTCCGGCCACATTTGTACCGCTTCTAATTTTCTGCATCCTCTTTGACTCCCCAGGGGAAGTACGGCAAGCGTAAGAGCCGCTTCAAACGCTCCGACGGCAGCACCTCTTCCGACACCACTTCCAACAGTTTCGTCAGGCAGGTAAGAGCTTGCAGAAGTGGAGGGAGCGGGGCTCAAGGTCCGGGCGGGCCGTGGGAAGGCACAGCGGCTGTTTATAAGTGAGGAGATTTCGTTTCCACCCCACTCTGTTAACTGCTTCTTTGTTCGGGGCATGTGGGGAGACAAGTAAGCTCTGGACTGTCCTCTCGCATTTCCATAGTGATTTTTCTGGGATGTTTGGATGGTCTCCGCCTAGTGGACGCCACCTTCGCTGCAAGTTCTGCTGTTTCTTTCCGGCTGCAGAAGTGCAAGGGACTAGTTTTACTCAAGGGGCAGGAGTCAAATGGATGGAGGGTTTCCACGGGGTGGGCTTCCTTTCCAAGTACATAGCCCTTGTTTCTCCATCGTTTTCCCTCCTCCTCCTTCTCCATTTTCCCACGTCTCCTTCGCTTTATCTTTCATCTGCTGTCAGTGTCCATTAAAACTTTTTTATTTAGTTTTGCAAAATAGCAATTTGGAATGATTTCTTCTGATCATCTATTGATGGAATCATAGAGCTGGAAGGGACCTCCACGGCCATCTAGTCCGAACCCCCTGCACAATGCAGTTCATTCACAAATACCTCTCCCCCCCACACCCACAGTGACCCTTCTTCTGTGACAAAAAAAATCCCTCCAGGATCCCCAACCAAACTGGCCTGGAGAAAAATGGCTTCCTGACCCCAAAGTGGCAATCGGCATTTCCCTGGGCGTGTCAGAAAGGGCCACGAGAACCAAGCACTGAGGCAACCCTTCCTGCCCTCCCTCTCACGATCTGCCTGAGTTCACACAATCAGCATTGCTGTCAGATGGCCATCTAGCCTCCTTGGTGCAGAATTAGGATCTCTCTCTCTCTCTTTTGGGGGTAGTACCTCCACATTTCCATCGTAGCCCTTGGCATCTCTTGCTCCCCATTGTTATTTCCATTTGCTGACAGCTGACCCATTATCTCCCCCCACTATGCAGAACCTACTAGAGGGGAAGACTGAAAACGGACTCCGAGTTAATTCCAGACTTGCCCATTGCATCTCCTCTTGCAAGGTGTCATGAGCTCAAAACAAGAGTGAGCCAGCCAGGCAGGTGGTTTCGGATGCTTAGAAATCCAAAGCGGCAGCAGACGGAGGACCCAGACGCTTTCAGAATACGGAAGCTGCATTTTGATGATGGGTAGCTTGATATCTTGCACAGAGGCAGGAGTCATTTCCTGCCGGAGCGTGGCAGAGTGGCTCTTCGGCAGTAAGGAGCCTGGTGTGGCCCCCCTCCCCCACCATTCCTGGCCTGCCAGCACAGGCGGATGGGGCAAGGAAGGCCTGCAGAGCCCCCTGCTGGCTGGGGGGATTTAAATGCCTTCCCCATCTGGGGAAGGGAGAGAAAGGCATTCTAAACACGCCTGGGTTCCCTGCCTGATCTTCTGCAGGTGCCCCACAGCCGCGGCCCACCTGGAGAAGATCGGGCAGGGAACCCAGGCATGCTTGCATGCCTGCCCTTTGCAAGGGGGTGTGGCATATGCAAATGAATCATGCAAATGAGCTCCTGCACCTCTTTTCCTACGAAATGGCCCCTGCACAGAGGTGATGAGAAAGGGCCTACTGCCTCCCCCCAGAGGGCACGTTGTTTGGAGATCACTCAAGGAAAAGGTCTGGTTGTTCCCCAATACAGACAGGAGGCTTGAAAAGGTATCCGGGGCCTCCCTGTGCCCCTTTCCCCCCACCTGTGTACAAAAGGCATCCGTAGGGCAGCCAGGTGATGAGAGATCGAACCTGAGGGCTTTCCCCTTCATCTTCCTAGTCAGTTTCTAACTTGGCCGTGTGGCTTTCCACAGCCATTTGCACACATGGAATAGCTATAGCAGCTGGACGGAGACTCATCTGCAGCACTCTTCCCGCGGATGCAGACGCAGCAGTTCCCCAGTTGTCCTCAACCGGGGTGGGGGGTGGGGATGTGTCATCTGGCCTAAAGAATACAGGAATCACACACACACACACACACACACAAAACACACACACACACTGTGTTGGTTTTGACATTGCCATCAATTTCTTGCCTCCGCAAATTAAACACCAGCCGAACCCTCCCCTCCCCCCCCACCCTGCCACGTAGGGGAGCAGTGAGGTTGCCATAGTAACTCACCATCCATTTGGGTGCCTGGCCTGACTTAAATAAGAGAAGCCACCCAGTGTCTGGAAAATGCATTTGGGAAGCCAAGTGGGAGAAACGTCTTTGCCCGTGAGGGAGACAGGCCGGTGGTGCATCTCTCCGCACAGAATCCACGCCGTCTTCTGCGCGTACAAAGCAGCCAAACCTGGAGGGACAGATGGGGAGCCGGTGGGGTTGCTCCCACCCCTCCACCTGCCAAAATCCCCAAGCCATGCTCTGTGCCTCCGGCTCTCTGGCCACCGGATCTGAATCACCGTAGAAGTTCATCGCTGCCCCTCTTTGTCCTCATCCTTTGGCTTTACTGTGACATTTTGAAGTTAGAAAAGGAGTGCTGTTTGTATTCTGTGACACGTACACAGAGCCCAAATTCTGCACGACGGGCAACACCCATTGGTATGGCAGAGTTATTCCACTTCGTTGAGCAACCCTGGGAAATATTTGCGTTCTGGTGAGTTTCCAAAAGTCTCCACGCAGACAGCTGAGACTTCGCCATGCCTCCCTCATCTTTTCCCCCCAGGTCGGGGAGGAGATGAGGCTCAGTGGAAGAGCCTCTGCTTGGCACGCAGAAGGTCCCAAGTTCGATCCCCGGCATCTCCAGTTAAAAGGATCAGGCAGGAGGTGATACGAAAGACCTCTGTCTGAGACCCTGGAGAGCTGCCGCTGGTCTGTGTAGACAATACTGACTTTGATAGACTGAGGGTCTGATTGAGTACAAGGCAGCTTCACATGTTCATGTATGTCTAGGTTTTCAGCTATAAGGGACTTTGTGTGTGTGTAAAGTGCCATCAGGTTGCAGATGGCTTATGGTAACCCCATAGGGCAGGGGTATCAAACATGTGACCCGGGGGCCGGATCAGGCCCCCAGAGGGCTTCTATGAGGCCTGCAGTGGAACTGGCTGTCTTCTGCTTCTGCTTCCAGTTCTGCTGATGCTGTGTCATCCTAGGTTTGCAGCTTACAGATACACACCTGAACAGCATACTCAAGACTGCAACAGCACAGACATTTTGATGCAATAATTCAAAGCAAGAGGTGTCAGTTATCAGACACTGTTAAATAAAATATTGCAAGAGTGCTAATGTTTTAAGCATGTTTTTATTTTAAGTAAAGAAAAAAACTCCTTTATGTTTGTGTCCTTTAGAAAGTTTATATCTCCGCTACCTGGCATTACATTTTAGGACACACATGGCCTGGCCCAACAAGGTCTCATTTATGTCAGATCCGGCCCTCATAACAAATGAGTTTGACACCCCTGCTGTAGGGTTTTCAAGACAAGAGACTGACCAGAGGTAATGTCAAACATCGCTCTGCTCAGTTTGCCATGGATGGGGGGGCAGAGAATTCCTTAGGTGGGGGGAGTGAGTGTGGAGTGTGTGACCACGCTGTCTAAGAGGCTGTAATTCTTCTGAAGAAGCCAGAGGAATGTCCTTGAAACTTTTGGTGCCAGCTTGCTTGTGTAGATTATTTATTTATTTATTTAAATTTATAACCCGCCCTCCCCGCGAGCGGGCTCAGGGCGGCATACAGATGGGGCCAATGCCCAATACATAAAACATTAAAACTGCATTTTAAACACATTCAATATAACATAGGTGCTCTCCACAATAACTAACAAGGGAACAGATGACATCATCGGGATAGTC